TTTTTTTAATGTCTTAAACCATTATTCACACAGTACATCTGTTATATCATTACACATTTTGTGTGTTGTGTGTCTATTAGAATAGTTGATATTTTCCCATATTGACTTTGTGCAGCAAATCAAGTGAATCAAGGAGTGCTCTACCAATCACCAGGCAGTTATTTTAGAAGGAGGACGTTAACTTTAAAGAAACTTTAAAGAAACCAGAGGAATGTTACTATAAAAAGTACCTCTGACATAAATGTAAAAAGTGTGACATGGGTTTCAGCTTGAATCATAGCAAGAGAGTAAAACCTGTGCAAAACGATCAAATTCAGGCCAAAATACACCCGTTTATAACAACAGCATGCAACAGTGAAATATCTTTCAGTCTCTCTATAATTCTTTAGTGCTCTTCTGAGGAACTACAGAAAGAAAATGTCAGATTGTCCACATGTTAAGGACAGTTTTTATTTAACCAAACAGCCACTTCAGCTAATTCAAATTCAGATTCAGATTAAGATGCTGGTTTATTATCTCAGCACTGTGTCAGGCTGTGATCTGTAGCAAACTCGCTGGTTGCTTAAAAGATATTAAAACGCAGAAAATGACCAAAGAGTGTTGACACTTTTAAAATCAGCCTTATTCTGTGAATAACATTTATTTTTAAATTAATCATGTTTAGTGAGAAGTGTAATATAAAAGAATAATATAGCTTTTAAAAATCTACATACCTGTGAGTCAAAGTGCACCTTTGACACTTTTTCCTCAGTCGATTCATTAAAGTTTGGACATTTTGCTTAGAGCTGAAGTTAGTGACGACAAAACTGTTTATACTCCACTGGATTTAATCATGTTGTCAGTGCATGGGAATCATTTAGAAGTTGTTAAATTACCTGTTACGTCTGGCAGATTTTTATAAATCAACAGCAGATCATCACAAACTGTGAAACGAGGCTTGCCACACAATATAAACCCTGCAAGAATTTGCACCATAAACTGTGATTTATTGGGATGCAGTTCAAAAAACAACTCTAAAATAATTAATCAGAAACTAATAGTCACATACATGTGCAGATATTATTATGCTTTGGCATTTATTATCAGATCTCATCCCAGGAGATGCAGACAGAGATTGCAAAAACTATTTTATGAGTTGTGCACATGTGCACTTCGTAAAGATGGTTTATTTTATTGTGAAGTTGTTTGTCCATTTTGTTGGTGACTACTCAGAAATGCATGCTATTACACACATGCTGCAAATACCAGTTTATTATTGCGAACAGTTCATGTGTATTCGGTGTTCGTGCTCCTGTATGTGTTGCACAGAGACTGCGCTGACTTTGTGCTGCTGTACAGTAATAACAAGTCTTCTCGTGGTTAACGGCTCTCTTGTTTGTTGGTTTTGTCTCGTCCTGTTTCAGTGGTTCTTTTTGCCTGGAAGGATGTGAACTCAGTGTGTCTGACCGTCTCTGAGGACGCTCGATGTCATCTTGTCTACCTGATCATTACACTACCTGCTCTCCTCTGCAATACTGCCCTCTCGCTGCTCCGCCACTTGAAATGCTTGGCTGGCCTCTTCTCTGAAACCATCAGGAAATTGTGTGCTAAAACGCTGCAGACGGTTCGTCCTCTCTCTTCCCTCCAGCCATGAGTGCAGGAGTCATAAAAAGATTCCTCAGCTCGGATGACTACTGCTGCTGCTCACTCGACAGGAAAACACACAAAACACCCTTCAGCCGCCCGCCACAGCTCACCTCTCACAGCTTTTACTTGATTTATTGACGTTCACTACACTGCAGAAATGCAGAACACTGCATGTAAATTACATGGATGTGACCACTTGTTTAAAAGCAGGCCTAGATATATTACACATGGCCATTAGGAGTAAAACTAATTTTTAAATTACTATTATGTTGCTAACATCTTGTCAGCAACATATTTAATGATGGAATGAGATTATATATGTTTAATATGCCTTCTTAAATAATCCCAAGGAATGTGAAGACTTGTAATATGTCAGCTTTCTGATCTGCAAATAAATTGGAAGTAAAATGGATTCTCAGTATTTCATATTTTGAGGTAAACAAGAGCCTCAGTCTGCATGTGGAGTCGCTGCATCGGCATTATTGCTATAAAAATACATCAGGCCTTCTTGCTGTAAAAAAGTTCAGTAACTCACATGAAGAAAGGACACATGCTGTTACTGACTGCATTCAAATACTCCTTTCTTAAACTCCCACGCTGCTGCTCTGTTGCCACATTTATGAATCTAAACAGGAACAGATAAGCGTCATGATGGCAAGTCAAAAAGTGAACTGCCAAAAACAGTTCTGAGTTTTTAAGTAACTGTAAAATGTCTCTTTGGTTATCCAATAAATTGTTGCTCTAGTCATCACTGATACTGATGAACAAACATTCCTGAGCTCCAAAAAGAGACCTTGAAAGCTTTCTCTTTAAAAAAGTGTCTCTGAATGCAGTTCAGTGCTCTGCATGTGAAGCTAATTTAATAATACAGGAGCAACCATCAAATGGAAAGTGAACCATGTTAAAGAAACTATTTCTGGCGTCTGTCTGCTCACAGATGAAACATCATATATACTCTGCAGGCGGTGGATTTCTCCCAGTTACAGAAACTAAGAAGAGATTTTTACCTGATCACTAAGACTGACCACTGCAAACAGAACCTGCTTCAATGGACCTCTCTACTGGATTCAGTTCATACACTTTTTAAAAACCGTATTATGAAAGTATTGTTTAAGTTAGCTGGGTTAATAATATCACACACATTCATAGATGAAAGTGTTTGACAACACGCACATCATCTCATTTTGGACTTTTAATAAACGTACCTTTTTGTAAAAATGCAAAAGTTCTTCTAAGCTTTTGTGAATTGAGTGAAAGTGAATAAACATTATTAAAACGCTGCACTCACTCAGACACAACTTTAAAAAGAATCACGCAGCAACATTTCTGCAGTTACCTGGATGATAATCGAGAGCTAACAGATCATGCCTCAGAGATCTGTGCTTGTCTTGCTCAAGAGTACCTCAGTCTAAAATGCTGAGGGCGTGGTTACATTGTTTCTTAAGTGTTTCTGACTCACTGTGTGCACCTTACAATAAAATAAATGTGCTTTGATGTTTTCACCTTTTCCATGCGTGCGCTTCATGTGTCCTTCAGTTCATCCTTCTGCCACATTTACCACTATTCTTCATATTCTTCATCCAATCAAATTACACTAAAGTATTAACTTTTTTGCATCTCAGATAACTGAAGATTAATAAACATAAGAGTTGTCATCACGAACCAGAACTCTGCTTCTGTAGAAGGCACAGAAATCAGCACTGTGACTGTGCCTTTCATTTATTAGTGGAGATTTTATACACTTTATACATAAGATTTTAGCCAATATAAGGCAAAAATAATGCGTTAGCACCAGAAATAGATTATTATTTACTTTTCTAAACACTTGAACACTAACAGTAACACTATCTGTGAAACTATTAACTCTTGTAACTGAAGCATTTACAAAGTGTGTTAAACTGAACGTACAGCCTTCCTTAAAGTTTTACCCTGAACACATCCCACTGCTTCAGTTATATAACAGTCTACACAATAGCCTGTCTCTCTCTTTCTCTCTGTGTGCACTGCAAAACAGGATGCTATTTCCCCATGAAATGAAATACAACATATATAAACATAAAATTAGTAAAATATATAGATACATAAATATATTGTTTACAGATATGCAGTATGTAATTTAGTGTTGTGCTGCATGATATCAGATATTTGGTCATTTTTTTCTTCTGAATCAATATGAATGATGTACAAATGAGGTACAAGTTTGTCATTTAGTAAAACCAATAAAATTCAAATAGCAAAGCAAATGCAATAATAACATTTATTTAAATAAATTTTGGGTAATTGTCTGTACAGGTCACATTTAAAGCAAACTTTGATGGGAAGAACAGATACAAATACATAATAAATAACATTTCATATGTACAGTGTTGGTTTCAAAAAGAAATGGAACACTTGACGACCTGAAAGTTAAATGTAGCTGCCTCTTTTCTTTTCCTCTGAGTAAAGGAAAAAGGACAATGGACTGCAGAGGATCTGAGGAACCTGCAGGGTTGAGGGTGCTGATGTCGTTTAGAAACGTGGAGCATGAATGGAGCCGAAAACAAAACAAAAAAATCAAACAAATTAAACTTTTGCAGTGTGATTTGGACCACATTACGAGTTAAAAAAAGAGTTTTATGCATAAATAAAAAAATGCAAATTCATAATAATGAATTTATCCCCCGAGATGTAAATGATTACATATTTGATGAGCTTGTATAGAGGGATTTTTCTGCATCACCATGCTAGTGTTAGAGTTCTTCAGCAGTTTGTGGCCATGCTTGTGATGTTTGTGGCACCCATGCTGTTTGGCAGGAGGATCTATGCATTAATGACTACAACAGATGAATACGTTGAAGGTTATTGCTTCATTCTCATACATTTCAAAGAGCACGCGATGTGATACGTTGTATAATGAAGTCAGGCAGTGCAAAAGGAAATATCATAGAGAAACTTTTATTTTCCATCTATTGCAGAGAGCCATGAAACACATTAAAAATTCACCACAGAGCACAAGTGCACAAACACATGATAGGCACATCCTGCTACACATATTTTACATCCTCTTTAAACAGGAAGTTAATTAGATGATTTGAATTGGTAAAACACTGCTGCTACATTGCTGCTCTTTGATCATCACGCCTGCTGATTGAAGCATGTCTGAAACAGATGACGGCCGGTCGTTATCAGCCTCAAAGGCCCAGGATCCATTTGCAGTGCTGGCATCTCAAGCACCTCATGTTCATCCTCTGAAGAAGGTGAGACAATCCATTAAGTGAAAGGCATAAACACTCAACTCTGGGAACCTGATTGTTGGCGCTGTCCCCCATCCAGCCCACCTGACTGCAGCGGACTGTGGGTTTTATACAAGACAATTCAAGTCCTGAGGTGGAACATTGAGAAAGAGAAGACAAAGGGAAATAAGACCATATGGTGATTTGCATATCATAACACAGCAGCACAACTTTTAATAGAACTCAGAGATGCAAGAGACAGTCGACTTTGAGCTTAGTCGGCTCTGAACATTATCATTCACCGTGGGTTGAAATTTACCTGCAGGTGCTATGAAACGATTTCAAGTCCAAATAAGAGTGCCTATCTTTATCGTATTTTTATTGCATATTTATTTGGGCATGTAGATCAGCTCATCTAATTAATCATTAATTACAGCATATCTGAAACAAAAAGGTAATGTGTCATATTTGCATTGTCCCACAGGCATTGCACAGGTACACAGACTGTGAATGATGTTGCCTTAATTTACAAATTAAGGACTCTGGATCATTTGGATATAATGTGTAGAAAAAGTCACCTGGTGTGAAATTAAGTCTTGTTTTTTTTTGTTTTGTTTTTTTTAAGAAAAGAAAAGAAAAGAAAGAAAAAAAAGACACGGTTGGAAAACCAAAGGGGTGCATGAACAGTCCACTCATACTATAGACACTGAAACTTGAATCATCTACTTTTCCTGCTTCTTCTGCAAAGGGCTTAACGCCCCTTCACTTGTACAGTGCATTAATACCACAGCATCAGAGCTACTAGGTCGATTTAAAAAGTTAAGTTGATAAAAGATGAAGAAATATTTGCTCCAGCGCTCGACTGTTAAACATCTTTTCCATTAGAATAAGGTGGTGTGACTACATATTTAAAATGGCAGGCTCAAGAATCTCAGTTGATCTCGCAGGTCATTGTATAAAACTAATAATCACCGTATTCCCTGACCTTTGCCCTTACACTTTACACCAGCTAAAAATGATGGATGAATGATTTTATATCTATTTTTTCAGTAATGCATCAGAGCTTGCCCATCAGTGAGGGCTGGAGAAGGCTGAATTAAACATTGCTGCTTGAGACACATTTAGTTGTTAATGGCACTCAACAACCTTTTTTTTTTGTAATTGTCTCTCATGGAAGCAGAGGCATTGGCTGCTACAGTATGACTTAATGATTCATACTTTAGAACATTTTAAGAAAAATTATGACATACACTATCTGCGTTTCATACCCATGTCGTGGTAGGTAAATTCAATTTGTATCCCACTTATCATCATTTCATTATGATCCTAAGCACACTCGTCAGAAAATACCAAAAATTAACAAAACAACGTGATTTTTTTGCAGTCCTTTATTTAATTCATCATACACATTATAGGATTTTACATCGGTTCGTGGAGTAGATTAGATTGAGTAAATTATTTGAGAAGAAAAATCCAAACTTTAGTCTCTGAGCACTCTACTCACCCTGTCACTCTCCTCATCTCTTTGCTGTTTTCTTAATCTCAACATTCAGCAAAGTCAAGAACCTTGACGCTCGCCCCTTTTCCGTGAGATGACTCTGAGCTGGCTGCTGGTCATCTGCAGCACTTTAAACTCAGACCTGCCACTTTTAAAGAACTGCACGATCAGCGTCTCCCACGGCAAAACACCGTGGCGTGTTTTCTCTTGCGTGTGGAGGCAAGAATGAAAACTGAATACATGCGGATGTCTTGCAGTGTTTACTTAGAGATCGTATCCAATGACTAGATTTTCCTTAAAATCATTAAATTTCCGAATAACGTCACTGTGTTTACATTTCCTGTCTTGGCATTTCATACCTCTAATGCAGACAAATATGAAAGAAAAAAGCACCAAAAAAAAAAAAAACCTGTTATAGAAGTAAAGTGAAGGTTGTGACCGTGGGCTTACATGGATGACGAAACTCAAGCGAATAGATTTTATAGTGCAACAGAACTGCAGTCAGGGGGAAGAAAGGAGAAGCAATAACAAGTCAAAGCGCTGCAGAGTAAGAAGCAGCATGGAGAGCTGGTGTCCACTTGTTAAACCAATGGATGCCATGATGTTTACGTGTACATGCTAATGAGCTAAACAAGTAATGGTAAGTATATGTTACACCCCTCCTAATGTGCTCACGGTAGAAGCATATAGTTTGTCATTGCAATAACACAAGCTGTGTTCATATTTAGCATATATTTCCCCAATAATGGAGTTCAAACACGAGTGCCAATTTAACATCAAGAAATCTTTCACACCAGAAAGTAAACTGTGCGCAACTTAAAATGCTTTTTCACAATTATTCCTTTAATTAGACACATTAGATAAGTCATCTACAAATAGTGACTTCATTCAGTGAGAACAATGACAAGCCTTTTATGAATTTAGCTTATCATCGGCTGTGAATCAAATAGATTTGTTACAGAGCGCTGCAGGCGTATACTTGCTTTTAGTGTATCATAGAAAAGCACTACTCTTGACTGTTAAATGGGTACAGTTCAAATTAAAGTGGACAAAGACAATCCTGTTTTATTTAATCTTATAGATAAACACAGTGTGACAGAAGCTGGAGCTGTTCGGAGACGATGGAAGGATTCCCCTTTGAGCTCCAAAGAAAACTTCAGCTCTCCGGTTTCTTCCTTGTGTAAGTCATAGATGCTGGTGTTTGTGTTAGGCAGCTCGCACCTCTCCAGGCTCTTCTCACGCAGATGGGCTGCTGATGTGAACAGTACTCTGCAGACGCTCGCTGAGTCAACTTGTATATGTGTCATGTGGGCTTTGTCTGCTTCACACAGCAGCCTGCCGCCTACACTAATACACACAGCACCAATTTGAATGCAGCTCGTGGATTCGAATATGACCGTGTTACTTTCACATGCCCACCGACTGACACCAAAACAGCAAACAGAAGAAGCCCTAGTGTTGATGTCTTGATATGTTTCTGCTCTCAGCGCTGTGTGTGTTTGTTTCAAACCGCTGTTTTTATTCCAAAGTCAAAACTGGTCACAATGCAAGCAGATTAAGAATTTATCTCCTCTCCCCTCAACCCTCCTTCACCGTGTTCAGCATCTCCGCACCCCCTGCTGCGAAACGTTTCTAACCCAATGAGGCCCCCTACAGTTGCAAGCTCACTGACGCTGAACTGAGCAGGTGCATAAAGATGGTAGCTTTTACTTTGACGTCATTTGACCCATTTTGCAGTGCTTTGCATAGTTCTCTACATGGAGGGATGTGTTCAGGCATTTTGCAGCTTGGAAAGTAAGTCTATGTGACTGCAGGACGTGATGCACATGTAAAAACCCAAAATGCTAACGATTTGATTCTTGATACCAAATATGATGCTTAATTTTCATTATTTTCCTTTGATCGTAAGGAAACAGATCCAGCCCTCTCTGAGTTTATTTGATGCTCCAAGTAGATAGTTATTATTTTGTTTGATTTTATTTTTTAAAAAACAAAAACACACACCTCTCCTTTGCGTTTCTGGCACAAAACGTAGCAGCGGTGTAGATTTAGATTTTCACACGCGTGACCAGCTATGACTCACAGCCTTCTTTGTTGTAAAAGGCGATGATTGATTCAGACTTTCTTTGGTAAACCTTACTTCACCCCCATTGTTCACTTTCACTGGAGTGAATTAATCTGCGAGCTGCTGCACCCCGTTTCTCCCCCTATCCAATTGCGCCACACCGTGGAGACACGCAGACTATTTCTCCGCCAGTTCCCTCTCTCTGACTGTGAAATGGAAACTGTGCTAATTGCCCGTGGACTGTTTACGTCGAGCCTAGTTTGTTTTGAAGAGCGATATGATTATGCTCTCAAGATCCATAACAATGTCATAAACCGCAATCATGCACTTAAAAGACAGTCAAGTTTGCTGGTTCATTAAAGAGAAAAAAAGGCGCATTATTTCAGCAGTTGGAATATGATTTAGCTGCAGTAATTTGTAGCGATGGAATTAGATGCAGTAAGGCGACATTTGCAGGTAAGAGCTGCATGGCGCCAACTGAAGACCTCTGCTTCCATCTTGTGGCAACCTGGCGCAACGTTTTTTCTTCTCCGTCTCCCCCTCCCCCTCCCTCCATCACTCCCCTTTCTCTTTAATATCGGCACTGTGGCGAATCTAATCTGGATCTCCTTTAAGGCAATAAAACCCAGATCGCTTCCTTTAAATGAAAAGCACCGCTTATTATAGCTTTGAAATCCTCGTTTATTTGGCGATGTGCGTGATAGAAAAATGATTCATGTCGAGGTTCAAATGGGCAGGATGACGAAGATTCACGGTGTCCCAAGTGCATATTTCCTCAAGTATTGTATTCCAAGGTATATAATAGAGTTATCCACGCAGGTTGAACTATGCTGCACGCCAAGATGCTTGTTTTAATATCGTACTGCTTTATCCCTTCAAGCAGCCAAAAGCAATTTCCGATAAATCTGACCCTGTTGCTGAGCGGATAGAGGTGTAGTGTAATTTTCTGGTGCGTTAATGGCAATACGGGGGTGCAAAGAGAATGCTGTTCGTCATAAAAGTTTATCGTAAAGGCTTCCACGAAGACACTATTGAGGTTTTACTTCAGTTTTGTGGAAAACACGACAGAGCCAGACTGAACGCGCAGGGAGCTTCCAGCTGGTTTAAATCACTTTATATTAGCAAGTGAGCATAATTTCTGAAAGCAGATTTGTATGGTTCCGAAAAAGTGTTAAATATCATATTGTTAAATATGAAAATGTAAAGGCAATTTATGAATAAAGAAACCACTTGAATGGGATCAGTTCCGGTCTTTCATGCGCAAAAGTCCACAACACACCTGCCAACAAACCCAGTTTTTGTCCTCACGGAAAAACATCTGCATTTTCCAGAGATCACAGCAAAATAAAAGTGCAAATGGCAGCTTCAGCATTTAATTATTACTCAGGTGTATTATTTGTTCTGCATCCGTATATTGCACAGCAGCGTGGCACTGGCTTTAAAGTCAGGAGAGCTGCTGTGAAATCTAACCGTAAATTGTTAATTAATAGTAGCTCAAGTTTACGCTCGATACGGAAGTCCTTAAAAAAGGACGGGGGCCAAACAGTGTCAAATATTTTTCCATGTGTTCATTTTAGAAACAGGCCCACGCACAGCAAACAAGGAAGAACACTGTCTAGAATTAAAAATAGTTTTTGCGCCTTGACGAGCCACTTTTTTGGACAGACAATAATCGGCCTTTCACGTTGGAGAATGGGAGGATAGAGGGAAAAGAGAAATGAGAAGGCTGTTGTTGGCATAGCTCTATCAAGGAAGAAGGACTCCCTGTTATGTGTGAATGGGGCTTCTTTTTTGACCAGAATAGATATAGCACGAATTTTTAATTCGTTTTTCTTTGAGAGACAACAATGCTTTATTTGAAAGCTTGATACAATTTGGGGCTTGTAAGAGATTCTTTTCTCCTTTTCCGAGCCCAGCTGCCCATATGGGACACAACGTGTGCAGCAAGGATCACAATGGCACCAAGTGACAGGCAGGACAAAAAGCCCAAGGATACATCTCCCTGACTCTGAACAGCACCAAGAAACTCTGTCTATCTACACTGTCTGCATCTCCACTCCTGCTGCTCGTTAGCATGCACGCCTCTAACATCCACAGAAACCAGGCCTGGGCTTTTGTTTTTTATTTTTTATTTTTTTATTGCCTCGTGCACTTGCGTTGCGCAGTGATAGAGTCGCAGAGCTGCCTTCTCTGTTGGACAAAAACTGACACAAATGTCAGCGTCATTCTTTCACTTATGAGTTTTTAAATTGCGTTATTGTTCCGGGACTTGTTCAGTTTGAGTTTGATTTGAAAGAAACCAGTCAGAGTTCACTAAAATCCAATCACAGACAGGCAATCATTTATCATCGACTCTTATCGGTTCTCTTTATAATTCTCATAACACGCACTGGTACTCACGTCATTTTTCTCTTCGCATGTGGCGGGTTTCTATAATAACTGCGTCTGCTTATTTAACACACGCACACACACGTTTCTGGGGGTTTTAAGACAAAGAAATAAAATAATAAAGTTTGATTTATTTGACCTGGAAGCTCGAAACACAAAACCTTTCTGTCAGCGACAAATTGAGTCTGTGTCATCCACAAAAGCAGTAGCCCCCTGAGACTCAATTCTGTAAATAATTAGCAAATCTGCCCAATTTAGCTGTTTGTTCGGTGATGATAGGGGCGACTCTAACATCTGCTGTGAGATTTTTTGGCCCGGGACAAACAAAATGCATAGATTTTTTTCAACTAGGTTATCATATTTACTCAAGATATTGACTGGAGTCTGATAATCCGCAATGCGCTCTGCGGATCACTGGGGAGCCATTTGTGCTCGTTTTGGTCCCACGGTAAAGAACGCCGTGCCTAATAGCGTAAAGTATATTGTAATGCGGGCTATGATTGCCAAAATGTTATATGATCGTGTAAAAAATGTCTTTATTAGTCCCTTCAAGCCTCTGTAAGCCACGTGAATTTTAGCTGAACGCTGCCGTGATTAAACAAAGAAGGCTGGTGAGTCATTGATCCGTCCTGCTCTGTTTGCAGTTTAGCGCTTAACAAGATAACAAAACATTTATTGCATTAAACGATGTTTTTCCTCGCAGTCTACCACTTTACAACCAAGGCCGGGGGTGGTTGGGGATGCTGACAAAAAGGAGAGCTTTTCACTCAAAAGCTTCTTATGTTGAGAAGCCCACTTATAGTAAGTGAGTGGATTTTAGTCCCATTTCACAAGTGACTTTCGGCTCTTTATTAGCGAGGTGTTCGGATTGAGAAAAAATATTTTCGGGATTAAATTTGCCTGAAAGAGAAAGAACTGAAGTACGCTGGAGATTTTTTTTTTTTCCGTTCCCGTGCTCACTTCCATTCTGTGCCACAATAAAGTGTTTTCATCATCGCCTTTTATCATCACGTTTACCGGTGTCTTTTAAAATAAAATAGAATTTTCACAGTGGCGGCTATAAACCAGACCCTGGTGTCAGAAACAACGCATTTTATTTAAATTATGTTTTTTTTTTTATTTAAAAAAACAAAATCGGTTATTTTACCGTCGCCGCGAGGCTACAGTTTTTATTTACACGGCAGTCTCCTTATTTTATTTTTTTAATTAAAAGATTCAGAAATGTAGGCTACACAACCCTCTTCATCGCCACACTCCCGCAACTGCTCTGCGTTGCAAACACCTGCCACAAAATTATTTACAAGAAATAAAAACCAAAGGGAAAAAGCTGAA